CTAATCTCTAAGCATTTTTTTTTTTTTTTTTTGGATAGAGGATCTCTCTACACAGCTTGGACTCTTAGTGACCCCCTGTCCCAGCCTCCCCAGCTCTGGGATTGCATACGTGGCTACCACACCCGGTGTTGAGGCCAGCATGGCATGCCTGCCTGGGATTCTGGAGCCAATGAAGCATGTGGGACCTGGGATCGAATTCGGGTTCTTGCACTTGCCAGGCAGGTGCTTATGCCGCCAGCCTAGCTCCCCAGCCCTCAATGTTTTTCTTGAACAACATAAAACACAAGGAATAAAAACAATAGTCAAGGGGGGTGGGGAGATGGCTCAGTGGAATAAGCGCTTCCCTGGCAAGAGCAAGGGCCTGAGTTCAATCTCCGGTTCCACAAAAAAAAAAAAAAAAAAAAGTAGAAATACGTGGAGCTAAAATTATTATTAGTGTGTGTGTGTGTGTGTGTGTGTGTGTGTGCATTTAGTACAGGGTCTACAGGGTCTCACTACGTAGATCGGACTCGTAGTGATCCACCTGTTTATAGCCACCCAAGAGCTGGGATTACAGGCACGCACCACCATGCCCAGTCTCAATCACCTTCTCAGTGCACCCCAGGGACAGGGCTGGCACGGCAGGCTCCGGGATCGAGCCCCTAGCCCCTGTGTCTGCCTAAGCAGGCACTTTAGTCCGCTGAGCTCTCTGGCAGGCTCATTATTATTATTATTATTATTATTATTATTATTTTCATTTTATGTATTTGGTACAAGCTCTCGCGTAGTGATCCTCCTGTTTTCAGCCTCCCCAGCGCTGGGATTACAGGTATGCGCCACCACGCCTGGACTTGGTTGCTTGGTTGCTGGCTCAGCGCACCCCAGGGGCGGGGCCGGCAGGGCATTAAAATTATATTTTGCGAGTAGATGAAAGTGCCCGCCCTGGCAAAATGTAAGAAGATATCTGGGACAGATAAATATTAAGAAAACTTACTTTCTGATATTTAAACCGCGGCTTTACATGTGAATTTCTCTGGAAGGATGAAAATGTTTATTTTTTTATTAACAAAAATAAACTTGTTTGTTTTATTTTTTATGATGGAATTTGAAAAAAATAAGGATAGAAATAGGAATGGAAATCAGAGTTTAGCCCACGCCAGTATCCTTGAAAGAGTTTTGTGTAACTGTGAAGAGTGAAGTTGGGCAATTAGTCTTGACGTCCCTAAAGGCCGGCGGCTGATTCTGTCCACGTTCATGCGACAGACGGCGTCCGAAAGTCTCCAGCTGAGGGGCAGACGTGGCTGATTCCGTAGGAGTCACACATGGCTTAATTTCTAAATTCTTTGAAAACTTGAAAATAAAAACACAGTCAAAAGTTAAAGTGTCAAAAAAATAACTCTTTCTAAGACTTCTTTAGTATATCTTTCAGTTCAATAAATCCCACACAACATTGGTATTCACAGTACCTACTAGGGTAACTGATATTATTTTCAGGAAAGCTAAGGGCCAGAGCAATGACTAAGCCAATTATTATAAATCTATCTCTTAAAGGAGAAGAAAAAGACAGAAAATGTAAATACGTAAGGCAAGTAACAATCATAAATCCAGTTGGTATAACATTGCTGAAAATGTGTCGCCATGGGCAGCTCATGTGTTAAAATTACTGAAGGTCCTGGAGCACCTCAATATCATTTTGCATAAATCCTTACAGATTTATTGACACAACCCACAAAAATGAGCATTTGTGTCATTTGAAATTAGGGATTTAGTGGAAGAAGGTAGGGATGGAGACCTCAGAGCTGTCTTGCTTAATTCTGTGTGTGTGTGTGTGTGTGTGTGTGTGTGTGTGTGTGTGATGGGGGTCACAGGGACAGGGAGAGAGGATAGGAGAGAGAAGAAGAAAGGAGAGGAAGGATGGAGACAAAAATTACATTTTACAATAATTGGAATTATTTTGTAAAAATTGAATTATGCACTTAGGTAATAAGGACAGATTGATTAGGAATTGCTCTGAATTTTCTAAATGTGATTATAGTCTCTCAGGATTCTAATTTTTTTTTTACTATTTATTTTTGTTTTAAATAGATTTTAAAAATAATAAATGATACAGAATTTCAAAACGAGATGATAAGAAGTTAACAACAGCATTATTTTGCCTGTTATCTTTGAAGCAGTTGCTCAGATTACCAGATAGAGGCATGCAAGATTAATAGATGATTTTTGAGGTATTTAGTGAGTCTATAATCTGTGGTTATTTGACTATGCATTGTGCTCTCACTCCTTTCTAAAGCTCTTGACCTTATTTCTACTGCAAACCTAATGAGAAATCATTAAAAGTGCCGCTGGAGGCCATGTTCTGGGCAAGGGTTCAATCCTGCCAGAAAGCAATGACGCCCCAAGGTCACTGGGTTTTGGAAGACTCAGACAGTTTTGTGTCAGAGACTGGAAGGATCAGAAATGTCTAGAAAATTCTCCAAGACCTGCTGTGTCTGGTATGTTACCAGGCTGTTCTCAACATATCTAATAATACATCTTCAATTTTTTTTGAGCCCACAATATGTATGTTTTATTAACCTTGAAAGACAAGGGTTTTCCTTACACTAAAGTAAAATATGTTTCGCATTTTACTTGTTGGCCATGATCCAAATTAAATAATCTGGCAAAGTCATTAAAGGAATTTAAGACTAAGTACTGGTTTCTATTGTTCTTTCTCTCTATGTAAACTTTACCACCTAAAAGAGCTTGTTTTTAAAAATTTATCAGGGTTCAAAAAGTATTGGGTATTACATTCCCTTTTGCTTAGCTGCACATTTTATCCAATGCCCTACTGTTTTCTGTGGAATCAAAATTCAATCTCCCTCTTGAATCTTGAATGACTAATTGGTAATTAGTCATTTATTTCCTTCCATCTTGGTCCAGAACAGCTTCTCCGAGATCAAACAAAGGGAATACTAAGGATATTTTCTCTTTAAACTGTTTCAAGTTACCTTTTGTACGCTACAATCTAGAAAAAAATTACAAATAAATCCTGAGAAATAGGAGGTGGAATATAGCTCAGTGGCACAGCTGCTGCCTGGAAGAGTGAGGTCCAGTGTTTGATTCCAGGTTCAAAAGAAAAGTAAAGCCTGAGAAACAAGCATGTTCTGCTTCACAGAGATGTGTTCTTGTCTGTAGCCCTATGAATGGGTCCTGTATGAAGCGCAGTTATTCTTATCAAACGTATGAACTACACTGAAACTACTCAGCCATTATCTGTACATGCAAAGTGCTTCATTTATCTGCCGGGCTGTAACGGAACAGTTAATGATAAACTATTACAACCAGATAGAATGTATGTGACAGTAGTGTTCCACTTTATCTTCATTGTACCCTGACATTGTTTTTCTTCTGCAGCTCTGCGGTACTTTAATCCTGGGGATAGCGATATGGATTCGAGTAAGCAAAGATGGCAACGAGGTAAATATACATAAATAAAGTGATATATTTCTCTTATAATAATGCAAGTAATGAAAATAATAAAAATATTTGGGCTAAGGAGATCGCTCAGTGGCATAAGTGCCTGCCTGGCAAATGCAAGGTCCTGAGTTCAATCCCTGCTACCAATAGATAAATAAACAAATAAATAAATGAAATATCTTTCTATAGAATTTTTCTTAATGATTTCATGTATTTTTTTTTTTTTTTGTGTGTGTGTGATGGTATGTGAGTTAATGATTGCTGATTATGTGCCTGACTTTGTTCTAGGAAAGGAGCGATCATGTGGAAGAGTGGAGGAGGTATTGTTTCAAGGCTAGGATGATCTCAATAAAAATGGAAATTTGCCTCCTTCAGTGTTTCTATAAAGCCAGTTTGAGGACATAGACAATCTATTCTTTCCAAGCAAGACAATTTTTATGGTATAAGGCTTGGACCATAAATTAGCCCCACTTTTGGTTGATCCAAAAGAAAAAAAGGTGAGAAATTTTCTTAGTGAAGAAGAATATGAACCTACTATCAAACAAAATCTTTTTTTAAAAAATTTTTTAATTTTTAATTTTTTATTTTTGGAGGAACTGGAGATTGAACTCAGACCCTTGTAGCTTGCCAGGGAAGCACTTATTCTACTGAGCCATCTCCCGGCCCCCGATTTATTTATTTATTTATTTATTTATTATTATTATTATTATTTTTAATCAAACAAAATCTTGTATGTTTTAAAGGCAGCAAAAACCAGGATATTCTCCTGCAGCAGCAGGTGTCCTTAGTGGACAACCCATTCAACAGGGCTGGTTGTTCTAGTGTAACTCTAGTTAGCCGAGATGACCTCGCTTCTTACTATTTGTGTGAGATTAACACCGCCCATTTTGCCTGTCACACTCCATTTTATGTCCAGGGGCAAAGCTTTTACCAATATTTTCATAGGTATAGAAAAGTTTAATCCATAGTATGTGTTAGTCCTCTTCCATAGCGTAGTGTCACAAACGTGGAAGAAGGGGAAGGAGTGCGTGGGCCGGTTGTTCTGCCAGTCTTTTCTGGTATAATTCTACATAGCACCATCTCTCAGCTACCTTGCCTCTATTCTTTTCTCTGCTCTCTCTTTTCAGCAGTGCCTCTGCTCCTAAATTATTCTTCCTACCTCATGCAAAGTGACTTTCTTGTTCTTGCTGGTCACTTAGGCTCTGGTCACCATTCATAATCATGTGTTCTGTTGCTACTGGCTATTCAAAGGAAGCACTTCTGCCCAAATGAAGTGCTTTCCTCTCCTAATGTTTGAGGGACTGGTGAGACAGTTCAGTGGACTAAAGGGCCTGCTTAGGCAAGCCTAGACAAGCACAGAGACTGTGATTCCATCCCTGGCACCACATGCTGCACCAGCCCCGCCCTCAAGGCGGGTTGAGCCAGCCAGAGTCCAGGCATAGTGGCACACAACTGTAACAACCAATTATATTTAAAAAAAAGGTGTTTGAGCTCCTTTTGATAATTACAAAGATAATATTAATGCAACAATGAAGACAATGCATTTTCTCTTAGAATTTATTATACTGTGTTGCAGCTAAATGCCTTTGGAGCCAGCCTAGTTGGAAGAAAGATTAAAAACAAATTAATATCTGCTCTCTTTCCTTTCCTGAAATACTTGGCTTTTCTAGAAATTAATCCCCTCCTATTCCCCAAAAGAACCCAGACAGTCTCAGAGAAATTGAACTGCTTCCTCATCTTATGTCTTATCACGCTGGAGAACTGGGTGAGGTGGGAGTGGCAGGTAGTCTGTCATGGATGAGTTTCTCTGAGTTACATTTATTATTTACATTAATGGCTCCTGACTTCCTTATGGCCTGGGGATTGGGATTGGGCGGGTGTGCAGAATCTGGCTGACTTGGGGCTCCTAACCAAGCAGGGCGATAACAGCCATCAGTTCTGGAGTGCATTGGCCTTTTAAAGATGTGTGTGCAGCCTGCATTTTATCCTATCCCATTCTTTTATTTCTGGTTCATATTTTTTTCTCCCCAGCATTTTTAGTAAACAAATTCGGTGTTTAGTCTGTTAAGGAATTGCACACATTGAACACATTAAGGAGAGCTGTCATCCTTGAGAGTTTGTGACTCCACATCTGGGGACGGGAATGAGCTAATAGAGCCAGACAGCATCTTTAGCTGTATTTTGACTCGTGTACTCTCTGCCTCTTGCCACGGACATATCAGGATCACCCAGCCTGACTTATATGAAATGAGCTTGATTTATATTTTCCTGAAGTTAATGACAAAAAAAAAAAATCAAAACAGAGAAGAGCTAAATTTTATTACTGGAAAAACAGAAGTAGCAGGGAAGTAGAAGGGAAAGCATAGGCATAAACAGTGCAGAAAAGGATGTCAGAGAGATGTTATCTCTTTCTGTTGGGTGCCTCAGGGGGACAGTTCTTCCCCTTAAAGATACACTCAGCACCAGGAGGCAAAGCACATTGGAGGCCATCTTTGCTCCAGAAAATCCCTTCTAATCCAAAGATGACTCCAGAATCCTTTCAGGCCAAGCAGTCCCTTTGCTTTAGAATGTCTCCCTTCCTCTTAGGCCACACAGAAACCCAGGGTTCAACCAAAACAATCTTTAAAATTCTGCTGCCTCTGCACTGGAGCAAACCTCTGAACTCAGAATTGCACTTCATTCTTCCATCAGGATAGCCACGTGTTGGGCTGAACATGGAACGGTGCCCACCAGGCAAGTCCACACACAGCTTTCTGGCCAGCCCTGGCAGTGGGGAACCTTCCCAGGCCCTGGCTAATCTCAGCCAAACACCTCAGAAGTTGCTGCCCAGGGCCCAACTGCCCTACATAGGCCTCCCCTATAGACCTTTGATTTATTATTTCTGTCTGGACTAGCTATCTACAGCCCTGATAACCCGGTAAGAACGTGTTCTACCCTTTCAGAGGCCTTTGGCTTTGCTGTACTGGCTGCAGTGCTCGTGGGAATGTATTTAGCAGGGGCTGGCAGAGCTGCTTTCCTGTGGCTGCTCTTATGTGGCACCTATTTTAACCCGGACGTCATACTCTGTTTATTAACAACAGGGATTTCTTAGCTCCAATCTTAACAGTAAAACAAATATGAATACCTGCTAACCAAACAAAAATATTTAGGACATACCAAACTTTCTAAATGTGTAGATCGAAACAGTAGCTCTTAGCACAGAGTTTTAAAGACAAAGGAGGCTTTAAAATACACAGGGCTGACGCAATTCCCTTTATAAATGGGAATCCGGGGCCGCACCGGTAAGCTGACTATCCTAGGGTTACAAACTTAGTTGTTCTAGGCCTCTGTGTGAAATAAAGATGTTTGTTTTAGTGCTTTTATAGTTTCAGCACATTTCTTCCTACATATGGTTGCAGAAAGGTTTCCTACAGGTCATGGGTGAATTTGAAAAAGTTGTCAAGGCAAAAGGATTCTAAGTAGAGGCAGCCATTATTTTGGTGTTGGCTGTAAAGCGTGGCTGTGACCCACACGTTGTGTGGAGATTGTGGGACATTAGTGCTGTCTGGAGACAGCCCCGGAGGCAGAGGCCATAAGAGACAGTGGGCTAGATTCGGGGAGCAAGTAGGACATAGAAGAGGTTCTTGTTCTTTAATTGCAACTGATTACTGCATGCTTGTGGAGGATCGAGGGTAGGTGAAGGCTATGTGTTATGGGAGCAATAAAGATTATCGCTGCGTTGCTCAGAGAAGACCTGAGCTATCCAGAAGGGCGGCCCACCCACCACAAAGGGGCCTGGGACATTTCCCTCAGTATCCTGTTACTGACCACAAACCGTGGCTGAAATAACAAGTTTCTAGAAGGATTGCTCCTTCTGAGAATGAGAAGATAAGAGTGATGGAATTTCAAGAACTGGACTTAAAAAACTGAAATACAAAAATTTTTTATTAACTTGTACAACTTCCTTCCTGTCCCTTCTCAGTCAACTTCTGCCTTCCTTCCAACTTTGCCCAAAGGCAAACGCTTTGCTTTTTATCACTTAGGGTTTTGCTTGCTCTTAAACTTCACAAGACTAAACTCATACAATATTTATTCTTTCAGATACAGCTTCTTAAGCTCAACATTCTGAGGTTTATTCATATTGTATTTAAGTGCTTTGATGAGTGGCTGGGCTTTTTTAAAAAAATAAAAATGAAATTACCACTGAATATTCTTTATAATACTGCCTTATATATAGAATGCCAAATGTGTGAATCAAAAATTATTATTATTATTATTATTATTATTATTATTATTGTGCTGGGAATCAAACTCATGACCTTGTGCTTGCCAAGCAGGTACTTATAATGCTGAGCTGTCTCCCCAGGCCGATGAATTAAAAAAAGGGGAAAGTACCTGTCCTGTTAAGCTTTTTTTTTTTTTTTTTTTTTTGTATTTTAGGACAGGGTCTACAGGGTCTACAGGGTCTCATTATGTAGATTGGACTCGTAGTGATCCGCCTGTTTTCAGCCTCCCAAGCACCGGGATTACAGGCATGCGCTACCATGACTAGTCTCAGTCGCACTCTAAGGGTGCCCCCGGGGCGGGGCCAGCACAGCACGTCGGGGATCAAACCCCAGCCTCTGGCCTAAGCAGGCACTTCAGTTTGTTGAGCTACCTGGCCAACCCTTCTATTAAGCTTTTAAAACGTTTTAAAGCATCCATGATATCTCTTACATCCAACTTCCAGAATATCACTTCAGAATGACTTAAAATAGAAAACATTCTTGAGGAAGTTGCAATCTCCCTTATATGAACTCCACGAGGGTAGGGATGTTTGCTTGGAAGTATTTCAAGGTCCCAAAACACATAGCAGGTACTCCATTGGTATCTGTTAAATGATACAAATAAATATCAAAGAAAGGAACGAGTCACTCATCTCACCTTTATTCCCAGATCCTCAGTTCTGGAAACTCCGATGCCAACCCCTTCCTGGCTGCAAACATCTTGATCGCTGTGGGGGCCATTATCATGGTCCTGGGGTTCCTGGGATGCTGCGGTGCCGTGAAAGAAAGCCGCTGCATGCTTCTCCTGGTGGGTTCTCCTGTTATATGACCTTTCGAGTTCTGGGGATGATCTCTAGTCTCTGTTATCTGTCGGCGGGATTTGACAAGATTGAGGAAGGCTAACTTCTGCTCAGTGGTTTTGACTGCGGAACCTAATATGGTTTTGATTTGTCCTAGTTTGCTTTGGACTAGGGGGTAGTCCATGAGAAGACAAACGTTGACCATTCATTTTTTTCACACAGTGTGACAGCATGCCTATAAGGGCCAGAGGTTGTGTTAAATGTGCACAAGACCTTAAGAAAACTGGAAACACTGGGGTGGGGTAGTAAGTAAACAAACAGGGGGAGTGGGAGTGGGTCACCCCAGAAGAGAAGGACAAAGAGAGCAGAGGGAACTTTCAAGCCAGGGCAGGTGGAGAAGTGTCTACAGAGGTGAGAGTGGGGTGTGACCAGGAAGAGAAGCTGGCGGTCAGCCCACTGCTGGCGTGTGCAGGGAGTGGTGGGCTTTGGGTGTGGCTGGAGCCCTGCAGAGGCTGATGGGAGACAGCCTATAGTGGGCTGTGGTCAACCCATTAAGTCTATTACAGGCTGTACTAAGGAAGCGGTAAAGGGGGTAAGATAATGAGTTTGTACTTAGCAAGCTTTCAGGAGGCTAGACTGGGGTAGAATAACGTAGAGGAATTCACTTTTGACATACAGTAGCAAGTAATGGACATATTGTAGAGAAAATCAGGTATTTATCAGATATAAATCTGACATGAGTTTATCAGAGCCAGTCTATAACTATTTCTATCATAAAATAAAGATTGAGGGCTGGGGAGATAGCTCAGTAAAATAAGCGCTTGCCTGGCAAGCACAAAGTCCTCTGAGTTCAATTCCCCAGTACTGAAAAAACAAAAAACAGAAAAAGGATTGTGTCAGTTCTTGAAATTCTTTTTTTTTTTAATTAAATTAAATTTTTTAATGTATTTTGTATAGGGTCTTACTACACAGCTCAGACTCGTAGTGATCCTCCTGTTAGTGTGCCACCATGCCATGTCTCAGCTTGCCCTAGGGCAAGGGCAGAGCAGGAGGCACTTTTTTTTTTTTTTTTTGCTTTTTGTGAGAGAGGCAGAGACAGTTTAACAAGATTTAATTGGCAGTTTGGGAAATTTACTTGTAAGACTTATTTAAAACAAAACAAAACTAATCAGTGGCTACATTCTCCAAAATTATGATTCAGTAGATATGAGGGTGATTTCAGAAATTTTCATATAAAACAAGATGACACATGATCCAGCTCTGGTGGGGATGCTGTTTTGAAGCCAGCTCTGAGTTTGTTTGGATCTGATGGAAAAGGGTAAGACAAATAATATTCAAACAAGTTCATTTAAGTTTTAAAACTTCTGTCTTTTTATATCACATGAACATCAACACTTCGGTCAGTGTAATTTCATTTGGAACACTTCTTGATCAATTTTTGAAGCAGACATTTCTAAGTAGTAAGAGATCAAAATTTATAGCTTGACAAAGGGTGGAATAAATGAAAATTATGGCTCACACTTCAACTGATCGAATCCCTGTTCTTAAGGGACATGCCATATGCTAATGCCCAGATGTCACTGAATGCGCTGAAGGTAACAGTGCAACCCTGCTGCCCTTTTTCTTTTGCAGTTCTTCATCGGCTTGCTTCTGATCCTGCTCCTGCAGGTGGCTGCAGGTGTCCTAGGAGCGACTTCCAAATCTGAGGTGTGTATGCTGCTGATGTCTGATCATTTCTGGAAAAGTCTAAAACATTGACCATTTTGTAGGACCATTGGATAGCAAAAATATGTAGTGTACCAACCATGGTTAATTTTCTATCCTGGGTTTGAAATTCTGTAGCACATGTATTGTTGTATGTTACTCTGTTTCTGCCTTTGGTTTTACTATTTGTTTCTGCTGCTTTAGTTTTTACTCTTCAAAGTAAAATTTGAAAAACTATGAAAACAACATTGAATAAAGTTCAATATCTATTATAGGAAAAAATAAGACATTGAAATACTACTTTCTGGTGTGAATAATTTAACAATGATTTTTTTAATTTTCAGACTAAACGCATTCTGAATGAAACTCTCTATGAAAATGTAAAGCTTTTGAAGCAAACAGGGGGCAATGGACAAGAATTCAGGGACGCCATGGTTGGATTTCAGAAGCAGGTGATTAGGTTTGTAGGTCATTTGGGGAGTTAGACACAGTTGTTCAATGTTTTGTGTTTTAAGAAGGTTATTCATTACTGACTTAAAATGTTTCCATTTTGCAGAGTTTCGGGGTTCTGGTCCTATGCAACAAAATAAATTCAACAATATTTATAATTGTTTTCCATCTTCTTATGAAGTCTTGAAGCAGTTTAGGACAAAGATTAAAAAGATATGTTTAATGTAGACTGAGCTTTAATCAGGTTAATCAATAGTTGTCTTAATATTTACCATTTAAAACAGTAATGTTTGGGAAGTCTGTCTGTCTGTCTGTCTGTCTGTCTGTCTGTCTGTCTGCCTGACTGCCTGCCTGCCTATATCTCTCTGCCTCCATAAAGTGAATATAACTAACATTTATTGCTCTTGACTTTTTACTCCATTACACACAGTAGCTCATTTAATATGCAAACTATGAGGTCGTGTTAGTCTATTTTGTGTGACTATAACAAATCACTTGAGGCTGAGGGTTTTGTAAGCAAAAAAGACTTATTTTGCTCACAGTTTTGGAGATTTGAGGGAGCAGCAGCATCACTTACTGGGCTTTGAGGTCCTGATAAAGGATGACATCTCAAGGTGAGCAGGGACAGGAGAGAACATGTGGTGAAGCAGGGGACAAGAGGCTAGGAGCCTGTTTTGCTCTTTTTCCAATAACCCTTGGAAATGAACTCACTCTTGTGGGATTTATCCAATCCCAGGGACCAGCTATCATCCATTTGTCTCATATCTTGATTTAAGTGGACTCCACTTCTTAAAAGCTCCTCACTCATTATACTGGGCTTTCTAGCACATGGAACTTTTAGGGAACATGCTTAAACCATACCCAACCCATAGCAGATGGTGATGTCATTATTTTTATGGATCTTGCTTCATAGATGAGGACATGGGGATTTAGGAACTGAAATTTGAATCCAGATCTATCTGATCAGTCTCTTATTTTTTAATGCATGCAGTAGCCCTCCTTTTCTTTAGCATCACCTTCTCTTCTTCCCTCTGTCTGTCTTTCTGCCTCTCTTTCTGTTTTTGTCTTTGAGATAAAACAAAAACTTGGGCCGGCACTGATGGCATTCCATCTGGCTCCTACCCAGTATTTTCAATTTGCTGAACACTGTTCCCTTAAGAACCAAGCCCAGCCAGGTTCGCTAACTCTACGTGCCTCAGGCAGCTCTGTCTTCCTGTCATTGCACCCTTCACACCCCACCCTTGGGATACGCTTACCGTTGTTCTTTCTTCCTCAATCCACACACTTTAAGGCTTGAATAGAATATTGGCTACTCTCTAAGACTATACATTTCTATTCAGAAATCCCATGTTAGCTACTAGTAGCATTCACTTCAGGTATGCCAGGAGAATTCTCAGAATCTTGGTAGAGGGCTGCATTTCATAGGTTATTTATCCTGATTTTCATTGATGGATCATATATTTAAGCATATTCACCAGTAGATGTCAAACAGCTGAAAGTTTACCAGTTTTTACCTATCCACTTATATTTAAGTCTGATGGTTACCGTGTTCTTTCCTACCTTCAAATAAAATCTATCTCTTTAGTAATGCATTAATATTAATCCCTAATTATTGTGGACTGATCAGGCCCCAAATCTCCCAAACAAGCACATAGTGAAAGCTTAAATGAAAGAGTCAAATGGTATAATTTTAGGGCTCCAGAAGGAGCAAAACCCTCTAACAGAATTTGAGATTCTCTTGGGGGCTAATTTGAGATTCTTTTGGGTAGCCTCTATTTATTTAGTTATCAAGCAAAGGAGGGGGATACTGGAGAAAGGCAGGAAGCTGAGCAGGACTGTTCAAGGACCTTGGACCCACTCAAGGACCCACTCAATGGCTTCCCCAAGTAAGACATTATGGTAATTTGGAACTGTGTTATCTCCAAGAAGTTCTCCACCCAGGAGTGAGATGCCCGAAGCTACAGTCTTTACCTAATTAATTGAGATGGAGCCAAGTGTCCTTAGCTGTGACCTTGTCTTATACTTCAGAACTTCATGCTCTTACCCAGCATTACAGGCCTCAGTAAAGATCAGTTGACTCACATAGGTTCACTTACGAAGAGTCCACTGCCCATCTCCAGACAAGGGACCTAGGCATGGGCAGACTCATAAGTACTAGGAAAATCCAACGGGCTAATTTAAATTCTGCTCAGAACCACTTTGTAGTAGTTTCCATCAGTTCCCTCATTTTGCTTTTGTAATTGCAGCAGTGGAAACATGCCTTGAGGTTGGACAGGCCTGATGTCTCCTTTAACAGACTAGGAACAGAAGTAAGAGATGCAATCATGTTAACATAATCAGACCATTGTAGATTGCAAAATGGGTCTGATGGCAGCAGACATCAGCACAGGCTTGCAGATCTCTTGTCTCTATAGCCAAATGTTCCAGGATGGCATCCACAATGATATTTTATGACCTATTAACACATAAGCATGCCCTCATCCCCATATTATTAACTGTACTAGGCCATCCTATTTTATGAATTAATTAATTAGTTAACTTTGATGTCTTTTTTTTTTTTTTTTGCCAGTTAGCCCTATCTAATTGCCTGTAAGACTTGTGACTAAGATAGCTGTCTATAACATATTCCCCCTGAAGAGCTGTTCCTAACTGTGGTTAGGGAAGACTGGGTGTAGTTTTCATCTTAACTGCTTCAAGTTGATAAGAGTTGATACAAAAAGAGACCTCAGTCAGGCATCTTCTCCAGAGAGCTAAATCTAACAGCTTCATATAGGAGTTCTATTGTAGTTTACCAGTTATGAACTCTATGAGGTGGATCTGTGGATCCTTGTGGAAGGAATCTAGCATATTTATTGTTGTTTCTTCTATAAGGTCATTTGGCATTTGGCAATCTCTAGGCAAAAATAAATTTTTTGGAGAAATTAGTATGACTATGGCATTGTTTTCTACGTCTTGCTGTTATATATTTCTGATGCATGTTCAAGGCCAAGTTAAAGTAAGACCTTCATTAATTAAATTAATTAACTCTTTGCTACAGTTAAATGTCCTCAGGGTGTTCCTTGGAACCATGTAGAGCTCCTCTCAGTACTTCTGTCAGTGTCAGCCATCTGGATGAGTCATGGCATTGCTTGGCCAAGTTGATTTCTGAGAAAGCTTGGGAGACTTCTTTCCTGGCGACTCTCCTTAGGCACACTCTGCACCACAGAAGCGCTCTTCTTTGTGGTCCCACAGTCTTCATGACCAGAAGATAAGGGACTCAACCAAGTTATAGGATGTTGCAGCAAAGGTCCTCTTATGTCTGGGGTCCTCTTTTCCAAAATGATCAGAGATCATGAGGTGGAAATTATGTTATTAAAGCTTTTCATTTCTTTTGAATAACAGTTCTTTAATGAGGCCTTAGCTCTCTTATGCACCTTTTGGAAGGTTCTTTGCTAAAGTTTAAGATACAAGGATCTGACTTTGCTCTCTGATTTGTCACTAAAACTAGAAAGAAAGATTTTTACAGCAACCTGTTGGTTTAAATTCCTTACTGAACCACCATTAAAACTAGATTCTGTTCTGTAGCATTTTTTAATAGTAAAGAAGTAAAACAAAATTTCATGATAAAATAATAGGAGAACAGCAATGTTCATATATTAAATATTATTATTTTT